AATGACCTTTTGCTTTCTTCCTGCATGATGTTCTTGATGTCATCCCACAACTCTTCTGGTCTTCTGTTATTGCTTAATGCATCCAATCTGTTCTTGATATGATCTCTATATTCAGGTGGGATATGTTTAAGGCAGTATTTTGCCTCTCATGGACTTGTTTTAATTTTTTTCAGCTTCAGCCTGAACTTACATATGAAAAATTGATGGTATGTTCCTCAGTCTGTCCCAAGCTGTATCTGGCCAATCATATGGAGAGTTTCGTCATGAAATGTCATTTCTCTTGAATATGTCATTCCTGGCATAATAAGCCATATGATTGTCAGAATCAAAATGCCCAATACCAGACTATTTCAGGTCACTAATGCCTAGGACATTGATCTTAATGTATTCCATTTCATTTTTGACAAGGTCTAATTTTCCCAGATTCCTACTTTGTACCGTACAGTCAATATTCCAATTATTAATGGATGTTTCCAGCATTTTCTGTTCATTTTAAGTTGTGTCCCATCATCAAATGAGGGTCATGAAAACTGTACTACATTCGTGTCAACACTGTCAATCTATTTTGTGGAGGCAGCTCTTTGCCCAATCATATTTTCAGTGCCTTCCTATCTGAGGGGCTCATCTTCCAGAACTTTATCTGGCAATATTGTGGTGCTATTCATCATGTTTCAATATTCAGTATTCTGGTGCTATCAGACAGCGTTCCATTGCTATTTATAACATCCCCCATGTCTAAGCATTCAGAACTGGTCTGTCTTTCCTTCTTTCGGGTCTGTCTTAGTATAGAAACTCAACAAAAACCTTTCCACCATGGTAGACCCTACTGCTTCAGCATCACAGGAACACATATAAGCCACCACAGTACTACAAGCTGACAGATGAGTGGGAGGTCCAAAAGTCTAAAATTCTAAAATCACTGTCAATAGAATTCAGTCTATAGGCCTTCCTATTTAAAATAAACTACCCCTAAGAGTTCTCACTTTAAATACATTGGAATGAGAAAGAAATGTGTATTTGTTAATAAAGTATATTAAAGGACTAATGTAACTTACTATGTCTCTGAAGACAACAGCTCTAAGCCGATTAATATCCATGTCTTGTAGGAGTCTGTCAAGATCTCTTACTGGAGAAATACCACCAGTTACAATGTCCACTGGACTCTATTTAAAACCAAAAGAAAAAAATTTTATGTCTTTACATACAAACATTAAACCACCATTAAAAAATAAACACAGTATTCTATGAACCAGAAAAGTAAAGCTACAACATCACTTTCCTAAGTATTGCTTTGTTTTCCCTAATTTCTTTCTTTCTTTCTTTCTTTCTTGGATGGATAGGGAAACAAGAGGGAAGGAAGAGCACAGGGGAAGTACAGAAGAAAACCATGCAGAAAAACACAATCTACATGCTACCTCACCAAGTATATGAAATAGAAATTGACATAACTAAAGGAAAGGGAATCACAGAAACAAGAAAAGTAAATATTTAGAAATGCAGATTAAGTATAACCAAATCTTTACTGTATATTAAAACACAAATATGTTAATGTTGTATCACCACAGCTTAAAATAACTATGTGGCAACTCTGTGGGATGTATTAAACATTAGGCTGAAATAAACAAATAAATTTCAGATCTCAATCATAAATATGAGTTTCCTTTTTAAAGTTAATTATTCTGTATTCTTTCTTACCTTTGCTGCAGATTTTCCCATGGGAATTAGACTATGGATTGTCTTGTAACCTTTTGCTGTATCTCCCCTAGTTTTCAGTTGTGAATGTTGTTGACACTCTAAGCAATTCCGTACTGCTACTGCACACACTATAATTTATTTTTAGAAAAAGATTGGATAAGAAGAGAAAATTATATTTAAGAATACAGAATTTACAAAAACCACCTAGACAATATAATTTATATAAGATTTTATTTGAAACATATTACCCTTTAGCAAATTGTTAAAATGTCTCCTAAATTTTATTACGTAGTGTATTAGGAAAAAGAGGAGGCCTTCTGCTCCTGTAAAAATTTACAGCCTTGGAAATCCTACGTGGGATCACTATGTGTCAGATTCACCTCAATCAGCCAGGCTTCAGTTATTGTCTTGCTGTGTTAGCTATCTTAAAGCCCTGGTAGCATAGTGGATTACAAATTGGGCTGTTAACTACTCTGCAAACAAAAATGAGGCTTTATACAGAGTCGCTATGAGTTGGAACTGACTCTACAGCGCATAACCACCATCACCACCACCATCCTCTAGGATCCTGGACTGAAATCAACTGCTAACCTAGAGGTTGGTCGTTTAAACCTACCCAGAAGCTTCATGAAGGATAGGTGTGACAAACTGTTCAATCAACACTATAATCAAGAAAACCCTATGAGGCAATTCGATTCCGTAACTCATAGACACCATGAGTCAGAATTGGTATCATAATTTATTCAATACTGTTGGAAAATTCACCTGCTGACCCTCATTTCCATGTTAAAAACAAATGGTGCTGAGATAGACTAAATAGCACTTCCTTCTCTTCTCTAGGTACATAATGCAAATTTAGGGCATTTCCCTAGCTTCTAAATCTAATGTCCCATGGATTAGTGAAGCACTTTTTAGCATAGCCTGATACTTTTAATTCTAGAAATGCACTCTTTTTTAGGAAGGTAAAAAGAGTTAAAAATAGTATATACAAAAGCAATGGAGACTAAATATTTTAATTATATTACTAATAAAAAGTCTAAAGAAGCATACCTTAGCAGAAAAAGGAACATAAGTTGGACAAAACTATTTAAATTCCAACTTGACCAAGTACAGCTTTCAAATACTAGATAAGATTCCTAATTTCTCTGAGCTCCAATTCCCTCACAAATCAAAGAACAAAATAGCAGCTGATTTATCGTGAAGATCAGAAATAAATAACAATAAACTATAGCTTTTATTTTGTTATTCTCACCAATTTTCGCTTAAATAAAATTTTATAAACTTTCTATAAACAATTAGAGAAAATTATTTAAAACATCCAAAGTCTAAAAGTAGTCTGAACAGCACAAATAAAAAACAGAAATTGCAACAAAAATTAGTAAGCATAAATACACTTCACTTTACATAACAGGTACTCTAAACTGCAATAAGGAAAAAGATTTTATTAACCAGATTTCCCAATTCTGATGTTTTATAGGTGCTTAATTTCTCATTTGTTTTCATATGGCCATGGTACATAATCATTCAGCTTCCAATTTCTTGTTCCCTTCCTCTCTCCATTAAGTAAGCAAATCAATTAACAAAGTAACATTATTTACAACTAGAACCAGAAAGTGTTTTTTTTTCTTCATATATTTTTACTTTCACCTATGAAAAACTGTTTCCAGTATAAAAACAAAAAGTTACCAATTTTATTAAGTGCTCTGACAAATCAACAAATTTATTTTAATTTAAGCTATATTTAATGATGCTACTTTGTAACCTTGCTATTCAAGATTTTGTAAGCATCTCTTGGGACCTGTTCAAAAAACAGAATTTTAAGCTCTACTGAAAACTAACAAACCCAAATATACATTTTAATAAGATTTACAAGTAATTCACATGCACCTTAAAGTCTGAGAAAAAGGGAAAGAGGAAGAACAAAATCACGTAAGTATATTTTTTAAAACTCATGCCCTTCCCCAGTCTATAAAACTTTACTACTACAGCATAGTGCAAACACAGTTCTTCACTTTTGCTGGTCAAAAAATAGTGATGGATAAATTGCCCAGAAAACTTTCATACCAATAGGAGCAAAGACCATTTTCAAGTTAGAATGTCTGGATTACAGATAAATTTTAAAGTCCTAAACAAGTTGAACAGCTTACCTAGTCTGAGACATTGCCGCAAAATTCCTCCAGATGACATATTTTTTTCAGCTTCAATTTCTGTAAAGCCAAGAGAACTTGCAAATATGAGCACATCCACAAGACTGATTAGCCTCTGCAAAAATGTCACTGAGGCTTCTATTGAAAGGCCTTGAGTAGGCTCAATATTCTCCAGTTCGTGCTGCAAAGAATAACATTTGACATTTACATGTATGATCTAAAAAAAAATTTAATTTTACCTAATACATAACATAAATTTCTAAATTTTGTAGAAATCAAGCTTTCAGAGATCTAGTTTAACACAGTCACTGACTTGTCATATTTTATAAAATTAAAGAAATCAACAGCATTGGACAAATATAGGTAAACACTGTCAACCATATTCTTCAACAGCTAGCTCATCCTTAGGAAAACAATATTCTTTTTAGTTATTTTATTCTAAGAACAGATTCTGGAATCCTTTCAAATAAAAGTAGAAAAAAAATCTGTTTTTTGTTACTTATATTCCCTATGATGTATACAGTACCACCACATTAAAATTTTCATCAGTAAGGATACATAACGATCATGATTTTCCACACCAGTTTTAAATAGTAGTTAAATTCTTACTGTAGCCGAGGTAGCAGCAGAAAGCAATGGTAGTATACCCCCACATGCCATGACCATATTGTCCATCACTTGAGAGATTAGATGAATTGTGTTGTGTACAAAGATGACATTATCACTGCTATTTACGAAGTCCATAACTGTCTTTGTTGAATGGCTGTCCAAAGATAAATGATGGTTACTGATAAACCTTAAGAAAGGAAATCACAGTTTGCCTATTTGAGGACAGAGAATGTAAGTAAATACCTTTGCTTCATCTTGAAAGCTGAAGAAAAACCATGATGCCAGACATTTTAGGGTGAATACTTCCCCAAAAGGATGGAGACCATAATAATGGTTACTATTCATGCCCTCCTTTACTACTAAAACATAAATTCTATTCATATTACACCTGATATAAAAATCTGAAATCAGTCTTAAATAGAAATGAAACTGAGAATACATGTGGCAAAAGTTAAAAAAGGCATGGAACCGAATGTGCTATTTAAAATTCCTAGTATTTCCTTAAGAAATACCATGAAATGTTTTTAAACAGAGTAAGAATAATAAGAACAGTATACAAAGAAAAATAAATAAAGCTGGCACTTTTAAAACATAAATCACAAAATGGAGGATAAGTCTGTAATATACTTTGCATGTTCTGGAGACTTGTACAATGTTATACATAAATCCCAATTTTTTATGTTAGTATTTCTAGTAACAAAACCCACTTGGTAGACTTAACCTTATGAATCCACGCAAAAAAATAATCTATAAAAAATATTCACCAACTTTTCTTTAAAGAAAAATTTCTGGTTTCAAGTTTTGTAATCCACAAAGGGTTTCTTATGATGAAAAAAAAAAAAAATGTTAACTCAATAAAACTGAACCTCAGAAATAATTTACAGCTTACTTTTAACCAAATGTCTGAGATTCAGAATAAAGTGTCAATTATATAAATCTCTTTGGAAGCAAAGATAACTAAGATTTATATACATCATCTATAATAAATGTTTAGACAAACCTTCTCCACATCTGTATATCTGTTTCTATTGAAAATAATAGATCAGTGAGCAAACGCTGATGCATTTGAGACCACTTGAACTCAGGAATACGAAACATAGTTGATCTGGAATCCCTACTTTGTCCATTAGCTGCATCTGGGGTTACACCTTGCACTGGCTGCTCCTGTTGTCTTGACATCTAATACAGAAAAATTTAAATAGGAAGTTCATATGAACACACTAACAAACTAAATAACTCATTGCCTCTATACAATTCACCTAAGAAACACATTTTTAAAAACTAAAGTTTTAAAGTAGAAAAAATCTCATCAATGAGTAGGAATATTAAGATTTTAATATATTTAAAGCAAAGCAAAGTTCTGAAAAATGAGAAACGGCCTCAATTTAATAGTAATTATCTGGGAACCATGTCAATATCACCAACAGTCAATGTAGCATCAATAACCAAGAAGTAGGAATCAAGAAGCTATTAGTCTTGATCATTAGCATAAAAGAAAAGCATTACAAATTTGCTAAACTAAAGAACAAAAATGAAGAAAGTACAATGAAGAACAAACAAAAAATGAAAGAAGGAAGAGAGGGGAAGATGAATAAGGTTAGAAATGGCAACTTTATAAGTCATTCATAAGTCACTCTAAGATACTAGCACAAGAGAAGGCTGCATCTCTACATCTAGCAAGGACACTTGCTTTTTTCAGAAAGTTAACAACTGACCTCATGGAACAATTTTAAACCACATACTTTGCAAACAAAATTATAAAATAGTAGGTGGTTTAGCAGGAAGCTAGCATCAGATTCTGCAAAAATTCATATGCTTCCTAGGTTAGTATAATAAAGGAGCAAAAAAAATAGATATTTCCAAACATTCCTTTATAAATGAAAATTATACCAATCATGCAAGTTTAATGTAGTAATATCTAGTGGTACTGTGATAAAAACTAATAAAGCTTCCATTTAATGAACTCATACAAAATGCTAAACACATAAAATTTAATCATTGTATTTACTGAATTTAAATAATTTCAAACAAATTGAAAATAAAATTAAAGTATGTACACTAACTTCATTTTAACTCAATGCAAACACAATTCTGGAAGACATTACAAATAATCACCTCATGTACAGGCCGGTGAGGCTGAGATGCTTCCACGTTTGTATTGGCCTTCAATTCCAGTTTCTCGGTATCTGTAGCAATGCTAGAAACATCCAATTTGGCAATCTTCTGTTCAGAAGTAGCAGAAGATTCTAAACTATTTCCATGACAGTTATTAATTAATTTGGTTTCTCCAGTAAGATTAGTTGTTTCCTTCTCCTCCTCCAGCGTCTGACTAATGTCTGATCTTACAGTTGTTTGGGAAGCAGTAGTTTCTGGTGAGGTAGCTGATGATCCTGATGCAGCCATAGTCAAGATTCCTGAATCTTTAGAATCTTGAGTGTCAGTATCAGCTGACTTGTTAGTAACAGGTTCTTTTTCTGGAACTGAATTGCAGTCACTACTGGGCAGGTCCAGGTTTTCACTGGCTTCCAACGCAGCTACAGACAAACTATTATCTTGGAGCTCAGTATGTACACTGGTTTCCTCAGGAGGACTACTTTCTACCTTCAATTCCACATAATCATCATCTTCTTCTTCCTCTACTATAGACTTATCCAGTAGTTCAGGCATGTCTGAAGCATCCTCTTCTGAAGGAGAACTTAAAGAGACAGTTACTTCACTGATGGTCATTGTATCTTTGCCAGTTGTTTTAAAAGAATTAGAGGAAATAGTTACTGCTTCTATAAGCTCAGAAGATACTTCTAAATCATCTGCATTCACCGTCTCATTTGTCAGTGTTTCTTCTAAAGCAACTTCATCCAGTAACTTCTCATTTTGCCCAGTTTTCCTTTCTTCATTAGATATATTAAGAGTTTGTGGTTCAGTGTTGGATTCAGAGTCTACTGAATATGTCTTCTCAATACTTGATTTTTCATCATCATTTCTGATATTAGATGAAGCAGGACAATCCATAGTACCTGATGTACTGGGTCCTTTTGAAGCATTAAGATCTCTGTTAATACCAGAGACTGCTTGGACTGGACTTGAAGAACATGGCCCTATTTCTTCAACTTTTCCCTGGTGTTCCCTAAATGTATTGGCAAGGTTTTCTTTGTGTATTTCAAAAGTGACCTATGTTTTAAAAAAAAAAATGTAAGATGAGTTAAAATATGCATAAACAGAATACACCAAAGAAAATATAAAATAGTGTATTTTTAATATTTTTCAAACATGATTTATATAATATGACAAAACTTAGTTCACCTATGTTGTTGTTATTTATATGCCCATATATCCTTATTTTAGTAAAGTGATAAAAATCTAAATACATAAGGAAATCTATAGTCAATCTCAATGTTAAAATGTTAAGAAGAATCAAGAACACAATTACGAGGGACATCAGAAAGTTCATGGGAAAATCCTTATTATCTTTTAATTCCATTTTTCCATGGACTTTCTGAAGCCGCCTCATATTTATCTTAAAGAAATATAAAGAATATTTTTTTCTTTATTCTTTGTTATTGTTGTTATGTGCCGTGGAGTTGGTTCTGACTCACAGAGACCCTGAATAGGATTTCCGAGTCTGTAAATCTTTACAGGACCAGAAAGTCTCATCTTTCTCCCTTGGAATAGCTGGTAATTTCGAACTGCTAACCGTGAGATTGTTGTTGTTAAGTACCGTGGAGTCGATTCTGACTCATAGTGACCCTGCACAGGGTTTCCAAGGCTGTAACTCTTTACAGGAGCAGAATGCTTCATCTTTCTCCTGCAGAACCACTGGTAGTTTCAAACTGCTGACATTGAGGTTAGCAGCCCGATTCATAACCACTACGCTACCAGAGCTCCTTTCTTTACACTATTCTTCGCTCTATAACTTATACCAGAATCAAAGCAGGAACTATTGGGAAGTACTTTAGATAATACATTACTTTATCAATTAGAGCAATATCCCATTTCCCCACGATTATCCTCAGTAGAAGGAGCTCTGGTAGCATAGTGGTTACGAATCAGACTGCTATCCTCAGGGTCAGCAATTTGAGACTACCAGCTGTTCCGCAGGAGAAAGATGAGGCTTTCTGCTCCTATAAAGATTTACAGCCTCAGAAACACTGTACAGGGTCGCTATGGGTTGGAACCGACTCCACGGCACTTAACAACAACAACAACAACATTATAGTAGTTCTCCATATACTTGGTAAACAAGGAGTCAAAAATTATTCGCACTCTAACTGTAGAATTTATTTTAATCAACTTTTAGAAAATACAAGTACATCATTTTTCAACACACTTTGTCCATCTGTCAACAAGCTTTCACATTCCCTTATTAAGAAATGTTTTAAGCAGAACTGCAAGCCACGAATGCACTGCTGTCTTCACTTCTTCATCAGAGGTGAATCTTTGTCCTCAAAGTGCTGTTTTCAGGAGAACAAATAGTAGAAAGTCTGATGCAGCAAAATCAGGACAAGAGAAAAGACATTTTAACACCTCAGAATGAAGTTTTGGCAGAGCGTCAACAGTGTGGGCAGAAGTGTGTGGACTTACGTTGTCATACAAGATCACAAAGCCCTTGGATAGCAATCCTCTGTGTTTAATCAGAAGTTTAGGCTTCAGTTCTTCAGTGAGATTCTCACTATAACGAGTACTGTTGATTACTGAACCTTTTTCATGATCGTATGTTCCAATACTGGCCCTTGAGAATCCCAGAAAACTGCAAGCATCAATTTGCCAGCTGATGGTTGACTTCTGAATATTTTCTTGGTCAGCGACGGAGAATGTTTCCATTCCATACTCTGTTGTTTACTCTCAGGCTTACAGTGACGAATCCATGTCTCATTACCAGTAATGATTTTTTAAAGAAACTTTTACCTCCTTCTAGTATCAGTTCAAATTTTATTTGCAGATGTCCAAAGGCTTCTGTTTATGCTCTTTTGTGACTTGCTTTGGTACACATCTTACACATACTTTTCGAAACCCAAATCTGTAATGGATTTTTTTCATAGGCAGAGTGGTGGGTGATTTGCAAAATGATTTGCCACATAATCCACTGTCACTCGTCTAGTTGACAGCATCATTTCACGTGCACGTGCAATGCTGTCATCAGCTATGGATATGGATGGGCATTTTAATATAACCAGAGTAAGAATAATTTTTGACTCACCCTCATACTAAGACACTTACTTACTAAGGTATAGGATAAAAATTACTTCAGCAACTTGAATTCAAAACCAAAAACCCTTTGCCAAAGATCAGTCATAACTTTCAAAGTGTGAACTGGTCACAAATGCTGACAGTTCCAGTTACTACATCCATGCATCCACTCATTCAACATGTGAGTCAGTGTGTTAGGCACTGTTAGGATCCCTGTAACAAACTTGCCTTTTACAAAAGTGAGTGCATAAAGCTAATACAGGAGAAGAATAGAAGACAGGGCTGTGATTATTAATGTGAAAGAATTTATTTCTCTATTTATTCCTGTTTTCATCTCCCTAAGGATTATTATCTTATAGCCACTATCTGATGGCCACTGGTATTTCAATGGAAATCCACATTCCTCCCCACCCCCTAAACAAACACAAAAGAAACCAGATAAAGGATAGCATACCAAGAAATTATATGCAAAATTATTTATTAATCCTAGAATTGCTCATTGTTATTGATCATGCTGTTATAACATTTATAGCAAACTAAACATTCATTCATAAAATCTTACTGAACCTTACTATGAGAAGACAGAAGTACACAATAACATAAGAAAAGAAAAAGGGGAATTCTTATGCCCCAAAATCCATATGCCTTTGTGACTCAGAAGAGTATGTAATCAGGTAAAAGGCAATGCGTAAATAATGCACAATGCATAAACTCCCTTCCTTAGATGTTAACTAGCCTGTACTCACACATCTATAGTATCTACGTGGCATAATATGATATAGCTAGAAGTAAGAGCTGTTTGAGAAATCAACCTATTTTAATTATTAAAATTTATGGAATTTTTTATAATATTTCACGAGGAAATTTACATGTTATCAGATTACTGAGAAAAACAATACAGCAACTTTTGCAAAATACCAATTTCTTTCACACCCACAATTTTCTCTGAGTTGAGTTCTTCTTCAAGTTAATTGACCAAGTTTTTACTTTATTGCTCAACAAAAACTCACTGACATCTATAGTAGGCCTGGTACTGTGTGAAGAATCACACCAAGTTCCTGCCTTCATGGAGCATACATATTTAATGGAACAAACATGTAACATATTACCAAATGATGCTAATAGCTAAAAAAAAAAAAGAGAGAGACACATAAAACAAACTAAGTCAGGAGTCTAATTGAAGAGGAAGGGTATCACAAAAGCTCAAGTGCACCATCTGCTCAGCCAAAGAGAGATGCAGCTTTCTCAACACACAAAGAATTACAGACTCAGAAACCCTATACAGGATCGCTATGAATCAGAACCAACTAGAAGGCACCAACCAACAACAACAATCTTAATAGAGGAGTTGGAAAAGGCCTAGGATGCTCCAATTGAACAGAAAACTAAAGTGAGAACAAACTGTGTGGATACATCTACATCTCAGAACCACACCCGGAATTCAGAGTTAAAATTTAGCCTCTGTAACTATCAGAAAATACATTTCTGTTATAGTAGAACTTAACTAATTAATTGGTTAAGTGGAGTTCTGGTGTGGCACTGTAGGATAAGCACTGGACTGCTAAAAACAACAACAATTTATATTATCTGGTAATAATATAAAAACTTAATTTAAAAAATATAGAAATACAGTCCTGAAAAAAGTACTTGTATTTCTATGCTAATGATTTTTCAAAGGTTCCTAAGATGGTGATGTACGTCTTACTATTGCTGTTAAGGACACTAGTCAGTTTCAACTCACAGTGACCCTGTGTAGGGTTTCCAAGGATAAGCTGTTGAGTTTGAACCACTGACCCTGAGGTTCAAACGACCCTTGCAGTCCAGTGCTTATCTTACAGTGCTACACCAGGACTCCACTTGCAAATTCATTAATATCATCTGTAAGTTTGTAGTACTGTGGTGGTGTGTATGTTGCAATGACATTGAAAGCAATGTCACAGGTATTCAAATACCAGCAGTGTTACCCATGGTAGACAGACTTAAGTGGTGCTTCCAGACTAAGACAGGAAAGGAAGAATGAACTGAAGACATACTTCTAAAAATTAGCCAATAGAAACCATATATTTGTCCTATAAATATAGTGATAGAAAATGGGTACTCTAGGTTGGAAGACTTTCAAAGTAACCAGTGGATGCAACTATGGACTAGTGTATAGCAATATTCATGAAAATAGCACAAGACTGAGAAGCCTTTCATTATGTAGTACATGGCGTTACCATGAGTTAGAACCAACTCAACAGTAATTAACAACAAAAATATGCTAGTATCAGCTAGATCAAAAACATTTATAATACCTTATTATAATTATGGAATGCTGTTGTTAGGTGCCATGAAGCTGTTCTGATTCTTAGTGACTTTATGAACAACAGAACGAAACACTGCCCAGTCCTTTGCCATCTTCATGATTGCAGAAATGCTTGAACCCACTGCTGCTGCCACTGTGCCTACCCATCTTGTTGGGGTTGTCTCTTCTTCATGAACCCTCCACTCTACCAAACATGGTATGTTTCTCCAGGTACTAGTGCCTCTTAATAATAATATGTCCAAAGTATGAGTGACAAAGTCTAACCATTCTGATTTCTAAGGAGCATTCTGGCTATACTTTCAACACAGATTTGTTTGTTCTTCTGGCAGCCCATGGTACTTTCAATATTCTTCACCAACATCATAACTCAAATGCATCAATTCTTCTTTGATGTTCCTGATTCATTGTACAACTACCACATACTTATGAGGCAACTGAAATTACCACAGCTTGGATCAGACACACCTTAGTCCTCAAAGTGATATCTTTGCTCTTAAACACTTTTAAAGAGGTCTTGTGCAACAGATTTGCCTAATTTTTGATATCCTGACTGCTGCTTCCATGAATGTTGATAGTGACTCCAAGCAAAATGAAATCTACAACAGCTTCAAACTTTTCTCCATTTATCATAAAGTTATTTATTGGTCCAGGGTGATGATTTTTGTTTCTTTACAATAAG